CCCACGAAAAAGCGACCGGAGCGTAGTACAAGATCGCCACGGGTAGAGAAAGCGGTGCGGAGCGAGCGCGAGCGTGGAGAGCAGCGCCTAGCACGGTTTTAGATCCTGCGCCGTCCGCAGTCGTTCGCCAACTGTCAATCAGCGCCGCGCTACGCGGCGGAGTGGGAGACGCCGCCGCCACGCCCACCGAGCGCGGCCAATGCGCCCGCTGTGCCCCGCCCCCGTCGGCGGCCCGGGCGAGAGAGAGCGCGCGCGCCCGGGGCGCCGCGCGCGGCGGCACCGCGAACCACGGGGGCCTCCGCCATCGCTACACCACTACCAACGAGACCGCCGACGGGCGACGACGACGCCGGCGACGCCGGTCACGACGACCGCGAGCGGCGGCGCGAGAGAGCGTCGTGATACCTGGCGGCCGGCTCCGAGGACCGGGACGGGCAAAAGCAAGCGAGTCCGGAGAGAATCTCACCCGGGAGAGACGCCGCGTAGCGTGTCGCGCCTCGATACTATCTAGGCGCGTAATTCGATTACGCGCGATCGATATCCCGCCTCGAGTTTTTTTTTTTTATTTCAAAAAGACGCGCCAACGGAGAGCCCGGGGGACTGTAGGTCCCTTCGCGCGGAGGTGCCGTCGGTCATCGACGCGGGAACGGACGGCGCTCAGATTTGACGTTGCACTTTCGGAACCGCTCGGATCGGACCGAGCGGTCTCGCGCGCGCGCGCGCACGCAGGTTAACGCTGACAGCCGGCATGGTGAACGGTCTTGGCAGAGAAAGAGAGAGCGAGAGAGAGAGAGAGAGGTCCGCTGCGGACCGTTTCTCTATTATGAGATACAAACGCGGTCACCTGAACAAATTCCCATTGATCCTGGTTTACGGAATTAGCAGAACTGATCCTAACTCAACAATTATCGGCTCCTTCGTAGATAATAGTCCCTCGTGGACGTACCTGTACGATAAATATTTTATTTGCCCGAGATTAAGCGCCGATTAATGTCGCTGATGGCCCGTGATCTTGGTAATATTATCCGGAATAAATCCTTACGGCCGCCGCTTCCCGTCGGACGGGATCTCTAAGCGGCGGCAGAACAGTCCCTCGGCTAACGGGAGGCAGCTACGCGTTGGTGGCAAAGGCTACAAGTATTTGTGCTGCAGCGTGTCTTCTGTTGTGTCTCAGATATTACGAATGTTACAGCCGCTTGTACAACGGCGAGACCGAAGGCGGAAACCACTAAACGATGTGTTCGCCTTCGTGTCGAACCGAGAGACTTGACGTCTGATCGTGAGTTATTAGGTGGATTGGAAATTTCGAAAATTCGCCCTTTTATTTCTCACCGCTCGCGTACCGCGTGACGTGGCAAGTTATAGTCGACACGCGTGTATCGTTGCGCATATTTAGACGCTGGCTCGTGTACTCGTATCCGACAGCTCTTCTTACTGAAAACTATCCTCGCGAAAGACGAACTATGGTGCACCAATCGCGCGACGCACTCGTTAAAATTGAGACATTAAGCAAATGTTTTTAACGAAACCGCTAATGCACTCGTCGCAGCGCGGGTCCGCGACCCACGGGCTACAAACGCGATCATCGACGGCGACTACGCGCGCGATCCGCGCTTTTGTTTATTTATTTATTTATTTCTTTTTTTAAATAATTTAGCCGGTATTTCGCGGCGGGCACCCGGCGGCGCTAGCGATCGAGCTTTGAATGAACCGAACAGCTGACTCCGCGTAGGAATTGGGTCGCGAACGTGCGGTTTCGAACTTTGAATGGTATTCGGCGTTCGGTGAGTAATAGCGACAGGAGGCGGTTGCAGGAGGACGTGGAGGAGGGCGGGCGACCTGTCACCGACATCACTCAGTGTCTCCCTCCTGGCGTTCACTTCGCTCGATTTTATGACTCTCTCATCCCGCACTTTCCCCCCTTTGCCGCCGCCGCCGCCGCCGCCGCCGCCGCTCCCGTGCTCGTCCTCGCGCGTCTACCGTCGTCGTCCTCGGCGCGCGTTTACACGCCGCGTTCCGCATAATATCGCAAATTGACACATCCGCATTCGGCAGCCATCGATCGACGTGGCGGCGCCGGGTTGGACGCAGCCATCGGCGAAGTGGATAATGAATCCTGGATTCCCCAATTTATATTGGACGCGTTCTTCCTTGCGCGCGGAGACGAGACCTGGCCTGTCTCTCCGCTGGATTTCACTAGCTTGGCTCTATCGCGTCAACATCGAACGGTCTTCGAGTACGAAGATAACAATTAACGGTGATTGTGTCGAGTTGGGTCGAAAGTCTATGCAAGTATATGCAAATTAAATGTATCGCGGGAGGATCATTTCTTTTTTCACGGAAAATCTTAGCAAACGTTTCAAGATCGACGTGATCTTAAAACGTATAGTTTCTCGCTTACCCTCACGGCAAATTCTGGCAAGCAGACTCAACGAGACAGACGACCAAACAAATAAGACTACAAAAAACACGTTAATTAAAATTGTACAATTATACAGAAATGTGCGCAATAAAAAGTACTGTTTGAAAGACAAATTCAAAATTGTGCTGAATACAAAAACGTTTTGTCCGGTGGCTCCTTTTTTAGTTGAAAATGCGGAAAAGTTTAACGGATTTCAAGGACACGGGCGTTAGGGCAAAAGGCAACTTTCTCGTTCGAAATGTCGCTTATTGTAATTCCAGACAAAGGAAGAGACAACAAGGTCACCAATTTCTGTTCCTACTATTACTCGTTTAATTCGCATTTCCGGGTCATTGCTAAAGAACTGTAGTGTGCCAAAAGACACTTTGAGCCTGTTATTTCGCCATGGATCACAAGAATCCAGCTATGTCGTACATCTGTCAATAGTTAACAAGGGTAAAACTTCCTCCCCCTCTCTCTCTCTCTCTCTCTCTCTCTCTCTCTCTCTCTCTCTCTCTCTCTCTCTCTCTCTCTCTCTCTCTCTCTCGTAGCCAGCCACGAGCCATTAAATTTCTCGTGACGCCAGAGAATGATCGATTCTTACGTAAGCCCCCTGCCTGCTACGAATTATCTAAGTGGCCCCGCGAAAAATTCGATAAACGTCGCCAGAGCCGAGAAAGCTGCCACCCTCGCTGCTCTTCCGTATTCCACGTCCACGTCCTTGACAACTAGAACTTGGGATTTATGAGATAGAATAAAGTACGAGATGTATATAAAGAATACGAAGTGAGATGCGTGTGCGACAGCAATGTATACGGTCAACGATCATTAAATTGTAACTCTTTAATTTATACCTGATAAATTTTACGCGCCTTACCAATTTCTCATTAAGGGCCAGAGTTCAGTCAATTCCCTGTCTTTGCCTATCTTATTATCTAAAAAGAGACAGGGATCGATTGACCTTCGGTTAGCAGTTGACGTTTGTGAAACTGACTCTAAGGCCCAGCTTTTCATTTTCTGATTCCGCAAAATATGTAACAAATCAATATACCTGTTCCCCAAAAGCTGCAAGTTGATGGCTACGCATTTCACAAAACTAGAACTTGGACCAAGTACTAGCGTCATGGACACCGGCCTTAATTCGCCTGAATAGATACAGAGTTTCTAAATTTCTAAACAGTTGCTATTCTTTTCATCGGTGTTTTATTATTAACTCCATTATTTTTTCCAATAAAATCTTTAGTTTGATTTTTAAGAAATATAGCATTTTTTAATCAAAGACTAATACTAAAGCAACTAGTTTGTACAAATATCCGTTGTTATATTTGGCGCAATTTGTTGATATCATTACTTTTGTAGAGAAGATAGTTTTGTAGAGAATATACTTT